TGGGGACTACTGCTTCCTTTTTTCCCCCCTAAGCCTTTTTATGTTAAAAGTGCAATTTACAGACCTACATATTTTGACCTGATATTTACTTTGATTGGTGTAATTGTGGAGTGAATGGCTGCTCTGAAATTTTCTACATTTTATCTTATGCTGCCAATATTGGTGGGTGTTTCTCTATTTGTGAATGTTCAACTGAGGTGAAGTGCAAACCAGGAATTCTGTGTTGTACTGTAAGTGCACCAGACAATGGCTAATGTTCGTTGCCAACCTAAGCCTGTGTGCCAAAATGATCACCTTTTATTTATTTCCTTCACTACCTATGATTGGCCATGTGGATCTGGCCCACTTGTTTCTGCCCCTTGGATAGCAGGAATGCATCACCTCTCTTCTTTTATGTTGGGTACAAATTCTGTGACAGAAAATAGAAATCCCTACGTTTGATGACTTGGAGCATCAAACGCTGTAATCGTCCCATTGAGAGGAGCAAAATTATTTGGGTCTTAAAAACTCAAAAAGATAATAGTGTTCTCTTTACAGGAGACGCATTTGCTCCACCTGGACTCGGAGTGAATTTACAGAGATTAGGCGGGTTACATATTTTACCTATGTGGCAGCAGACAAAGCAGAGCGTTAGCAAAATTCATTCACTGCATTTGAATGAGTATTGCTACCCAGTTTAAAGCTAGTTAAACTATTCAGGTTAAGGACAAGGAGGGCCAAACACTAACAAAACTGGCAGAGGTTTAGGGCAGAAGCATTATATTGCCCTATGTTTATGCACCTAATACAGATACTGACAATGGAATCAGCCTCATGGGTGATCTTCTGCTCCTACTGGCAGGAGAGTGTAATATGGTTACAGATGGAACATTGGACTGAAGCATCCCTGCATTGCGTCACATTGGTTTGGTTGCAGGTCATGAAGAAGTCCTTAGGCCTAACTGATTTTAAGAGACTTCTTAATCCCTCATAGAGTCACTCAACACTTTCTACTCTGTTGTTCATGTACCTTTTCATTTCAAAGGACCTTTTTTTCCTCAACTTTATCCTGTTCAATTAGTAATATACACCTCTCTGATTATGCCCTGGTGATTTTACACTTGAGCCCATTAAGTAGTTCTAAAGTAGTGCTAAATTCTAGCCTTCTGATGGATGCAGTCTTTCTGGTCACCTTAAAGGAATAGTACACCCAAAACATGATTAGCCTTCATGTCTGGCGGCTTCCGTAGCGTCGTGATCACGCATGTGCGCGCTTTCAGGAAATCCTATACACTACTGTTTATGCTCTAAAAACATTCTAAATGATTTTGTTTCGAGTAAATTCTGGATGCTACCCACTCAGGACACTTGGAATACATTGGACGAGCAGTATGGAGGAATATTGACACGTTTTTTGTGGACTTCTATGGACCTTTCTGTCTCGGGCACCATAGACCTCCATTATTTGAATGTCAGCAGACAGCAAGAAGCCTCCCAGATCTCCAGATGCATTTGAGATATCAAAAAAGTACTCCAGGGTGTTGTTAGGCATGGGGGTGAGTAGAAAATGAAGGCTAATCATGTTTTGGGTGTACTATTCCTTTAAGGCCTCAAATTAACTTTTTATAGAAATTACCCTCTGCTATTGAAACTTAGTAAGCTCTAAAAGCATATACAGTGTTCGAATGTTTTTTATGCAATGCATATCCTACCATACTTTCCAAACAGCTGTCTCTTGAGAGAGAGAAGTTGCTGTAGCGTAGGTGTCCTGAAAGACACGTAACACCCTATTAAAGGTATAATAGGATGTTCTTTTTCTGGTTGGATGATCAAAATAAGTGGTCCTCCTAATTGTCAATCATTCTGGTGGTATGTTTACATAAGGTTTCCTATGTGCTCATTCCAGTTTTCACTAACCGGTGGTGAGTCTGACAAAGTGGAAAAATTGCAAATCTTCTTTTTCGAAGTAAGCTTGTATGAGTGATGCAGACAGCAATTTTTAAAGTGTGGAAAAATGGGCTCGGACATGCTCTTACACACGCATAACAGACGTTCCCTCGCGGGAACGGCTGCAGGGTTGTGCAGGTGCAATTTTTTTTTAAGTGGAGAGGGCAGGTCTTTCCAAAAATGTTCTAAAATCCTCCACTATACCTTTACATTTTGAGGGTAGAGATAAACCTGGCAGGTTTTTGACTTAATATATTATACAAAAGGAGGTGCAGACTATTGTTCTGGTAGTCAGACTTCAGGATAACAATGTAGTGACAAAGCCTACCAAAGTGTGTTTAGAAATTAGTATATAAATCTTTACTCTTTAGAGCTGAAGTTTAAGCACGCGGTAAATTGTTGATTCATTTCATAGTTAGATCTCTCAACCCTCACAAAAGCTAAGATTTAATCTTTGGAAGCTCAAATTTCAAAGAAGGAGATAACAAATACAATTACTTACATTCCACCAATTAAAGCACCATGTAAAGACAGGTTTACAATTGAATTTTATAGTTGTTTTGCTTAGGAACTTTCTCCCTTACTCCAGATGTTTGATGAGGCAATAATGTTATCAGAGGCGGTTGTCACCCTCACATAAAAAAAAAGAAAGACAAACACTACACTGAAAAAAACTACACCTCAATAAGCTTGATTAACTGTGAGTGCAAGATTTTAGCGGACAATATAGTGATCAGATTGGATAAAGTTCTGACTAGCCCCTGACCAGGTTAGATTCATCCATATGCAAAACTCTTATGATAACATTAGAAGACTAATTAATATCATCAGTGGGGCAAAAGTGGCTTTGGATAAAGGATTCTGCCTTGCAACCGGAGGGTTGTTGGTTTAATTCCCAGCTCCAGCATTCAATGTTGTGTTCTTGGACAAGACACCTAAGCTGATTGTCTACCGATGGTGGTCAGAGGGACTGGTGGTTCCATTGTAAAGAAAATTTAATAAAATGTTAATCAGTGTTGTTTTACATTACAGTGATACAGTTCAAATATATATTTTTTATTTTAATAGTTTTTAATAGCGTTGTAAAAGAGGTCTTAGCTGTTAAGACAATTACAGATGTGTCTAAACTGTCAGGTTTGTTGGAGGCTTTGAGGACCCAAATGCAGAGAATAGTAGGCAGAGTTGAGCTTTGATGATGTAATGAAAATGTCAATTGAGGGCAACTGAGGAAAAAAATCCCAAAAGCTGAAAAGCAGACAAAATCCAATAAACGTTAGGAATACATGAGGGGAGCAAGAGACGAGGAAGCAAGAAAACAAGAAACCAGTGCTGAGTGAAGCCTCTGCTGCTCTTTAAAATAAAGCAATCTAATAAGACTGATGAGCTCCAACTGTGTAGACTGCCTAGGGTTCTCCACTAAGATCCTGTCTGGTAGAGAGCATCACTTCCACTACACACACACACACACACAGATATGTTGTGTCACAATATCCTTGTGGGGACCTTCCATTCATTTCCCACTAATTTATATGGCCTAACCATGACCCTTGCCCTAACCCTAACCATTACCGACACATACCTATCCCTAAACCTAACCTAAACTCAATTCACACCTTAGTCCTAAACCTAACCCCCAGCCCAAGAAGAGAAACTTTTCTTATGGGGACCAGTTGTTGGTCCCCACAAGAACCTATGAGTCCCCAAAATGTAGCATATTCCTAGGAAATTGTCCCCACCAGGTATTAAAGACATGGCCACACACACACAGACACACACACACACGGGAACCTTGACATAAACTTTACAATATTTAATTTTAAAATGTGTTTCCAGTGATTCTTAAATGTCACAGTTAAATCCTAGAAAAAAGCCCCAGAAATTTCAATTAATTAACATTACTTATCAGTTCTCCTTGTGCGGTATATTGTGTACCTGTAACTTGTTTTGACGCTGCTAAATATAAGGCACAAATTTTTGAATATTTCGCAATTACATTTAAAGATGATGACAGTTTATTGGTTACTCCAACACATTTCTCCAATGGGTGTATATAACAGTGTACAACTGTATGTTGACATCTGCACAAACAGTAGTCACATCCTTAGCGTAGAGGCTAAACAATATAAGCAGACAAACTGTGACCTATCAAAATATAGGACTGTAGCCAATTAAGCACACTTCCGGAGAGATTGAATTTGTCAGATTTCTTACTAACACTGAATGTTAAAATGCCTCCAGCCACCAGTGCAAATTTATTGCACTGCTAATTTGTAAACCTTTGAGATTAATGAGCCTCATGCAAGTGCCGTTCGTATGAACAAATTCATTCTTAAATTGTTTGCTAGTGGTGGCCTGTGGAGTTTTCTCCAAGGGGGGCTAAAAATTCAAAATAGACATATACCAAAAAACAATCAAACCTATACAAAGTTATCACACCAGTATATTTATAAAGTATATTTATTAAGTATATTATGAATGCCAACAACAAAAAAATTATGAAAACACTATAAAACAAAACATAATTTCATGTTCAGGTTTACTTTTTGTTCATAAGTTTTGCCCTTCTGAGGCTTTGTAAATGCATAGCTGTGTTTTGCATTGTCCAATATCGTATCACAAACCTAAAAAAAAAGGGTTTTTATTTTCTGAGAATGTGTTTATTTAAGAGCAACTATGCAAATTAACAAACATCTAGAAAAAGTACACTATATAATATTATTTTCCATGTGAATCCCAGATTGTTCATTCTTCTTTGCCTTTTCTGCCTTGTCTGACACTGGAAAGAATGTTTATACTGACGTTCTCTGTTTAGGCCAAAACCACTTAACATCTAATTGCGTACAAATCAGCCATTAGAAACCTTGTTATTACCAAGATTCATACTTGACCTTCAGCATGTACTGCTAGGATTATAAGGCCATGAAAAAGGATATATATATATAGGGTAGTACAGCTGATTCTATATTTGACGAGCCAGCCAAAATATTCTATAGAATATTGCTTGTTTTCTTATCTGGAGGCATCTGCAAAAACGGAGCATTGAGGTATCTAAAGCTTTTCTCATTTGTGTTTAGTCGTGTTCACATCTCACGGAGTACTATGGAGTGTCTTCATGGAGAGTTCGATGTGGAGCCAGGAAATGGAGGTGATCGCTGTGACTACTTGAGGGAGAGAGGTATTGAGACCTACCTTGTGGCTATTCCTAAAGGTCCTCTAAAGAAACATGGAATCAGTCCTGTGGTGAGTTAAACATCCAGACATACTGTAGCTAGTATAAAAATAGTTCTATTTTATATAGGCTTTTCCCTTTAAGGCTCTTGCTTGTGGGTTTAACCATTTGCAATCTACGTGAACACTGAACAACTTTATTACATGACCACCTACTGTATGGGCGCTTCTCCGGTCAGTATAAATAAATAAAGACTAGAACATTGACACCCTTTCATTCTTCAGCGACAGACACTAACAAAAAGATGTCCAGCATCAACATTATACATCTGTGCCCCTCTTGCCAGGAGGGCCACATCATGGGGTTTGACCTCCACACTGTCTGTGCAAGGTGTCTCGGTCCGTGGAATGCATGCCTCTCCCTCATGCCCCAGTCATCCTGCCCCTTCTGTGAGCTCCTCCTGTTTGAGGACAAGCAACGGAAAGTAGATAGCTTCACGGTAGACGCCTAGTAGGCTTTTCTCACGGTAGACATCTATCTGCTGGACAATGCAAAGCACTTTTTTTAATGCTGGGCTTGATGATGTAGGTAGCAGCACCCCTCTGCTGCTTCTCAACTGGGGAGCATGATGGCGGAGGAGGTGCAGTTGGGGGAACACTCAGCCGCTTCTGGTCTCCGGCCATCGTCTACCATGCCCCTCCTGGCTGTTGGCACACTCCTCCTGGAGCTGCCAGCGATTTTCCAGAGGGCCGTGAACCATAAAGGTTTGGTTGTGCCATTGCCCCAAATTCTGCGACGATCTGACACTCTTGTGGTATGTTTCGGTTAAACTCATGTCCATTGCCTGGACCTGATTTGGCCTCAGTAGCCTGCTATCATGACATACCCTGTCAGGTTCAGCAGCTGAGCCCGCCAAGCTAAAGGGGGAAGGATTCTCTGATCGAGGCTTTCCTCCTTTCCCACCAAACACGGTCAGTCGACTGTGGGGTTTTGTGATCGATCTCATCAGTTGACTTTCAGCTTGCTGCAGCAATGAACAACATCGCCCACTTGGCCTTCCACCTCTCCAGAACTTCTTAAGAACTGGATCTGCTGGCCGAGATGAAGAGCCAGCTCTGCAGCTCCTCTTACGCCATCCTCAACTTGTCCACGGCCTCAACTGTCTGCTCTGCCTGCATTGCTGCCTGGCAGGCGATGATCCAGCGGAATATCTGGCTCCACCTGTTTTTCTCCATCCAAGAGTATCTGAAGAAGGAGATGCTAGGGAGTCCCATCAGCCTTGGTGTGGCCTTGCTCCTTCTCCTGCGTCTCTCGCTTGTCTGGTGGTTGGCGGCAGGAATTCAGGTGCTTCACGGCTCCTGGACTCTCCCGCTCTGCTCCGCCATCAGCCTCCTCCTCCCGGCAGCAGCAGCCCTTCCCAGCACGTCAGCCTGCGGCCCAGAGAGGCCATCATCACCCGAGAGGACAGAGGAGACAGCCCAAGAAACGACTCCTTGGGGGGAATGTGTGTGACTATGAATCTGTTAATTGTTTCGAAAAAAACAAAACAAAAAAAAACAGCTGCAACTCCTCTTCCCAACTCCTCACACCGTGGGAGCAGAGGAAACCCGGCCAGTGGCAGCCAGTAGCAAGACAATATTGCCCACGCTGATGTCTCTGGTGGTGTAATGTCAAGTAGAGCTGTTCCATTTGAGCAGCTTGCTCACAGAGAAGCTTCTTGCTCTCAATCAGAGCCCGCCGCACTCTCTATTGATGTCTTTTCTCCTCCTCACTCATCACGCAGTGGGAGTGGAGAAATCTCTTTGTCAACACAGCAGACTGCTGTGAGGCGATGTTTTATCCACACTTCCTCTCAGCATGGCCCTGCTACCCCATAGAACCCAGAAGCAAGTCTGCAGGATAAAGCTACAGTGGCGGTATACAGTGGGTGCTGGTTGGAAATGGACACTTCACTCGCGCTCTTCGTGTTTCACGAATTGCGTGAAAAACATGTGACTACTATAGCCACTAGGTGGCAGTCTGAGTCCATTTCGGCGTCCCATTAACCAGGATTAGATAGCTCAAGGAGCAGACTGGGAGGAATGCTATGTGTTGAGAGCTGATAGCATAGACCGAAGAGTGAGTGGTCTGCGGTGCAAAAGGTTGAGGGTTCGGTCCCAGCTGTGGTTGAGTTTATTATTGTTGCCTTAAATGTTTTTCTATTTTTTTAATCACTTGATGGCCTATGATATCAAAAATTGTACAATAACTTATTTAACTTATTTATATATGTTACGGATACTAGCCTATTATGCTGTTTGACTTTATGGCGTCTTTCTTTTATTTAGATCAGCTGATGTACGCTCCACCTTTCCAAGGAATTACATTAGACCATAGGGATTATCATTCTACAGCCTCAATATCTTACTCTGATAATAATAGGCGTATTGTAATACTATTTTTTTTATTTTTATTATTATTATCATTATTATTATTATTATCTAGCTGGTAAAATTTTCAGTTTGATCTGGAAAAGGACGCTATGATACAACAAGCATTAAAGGCCCAACCCCAAGCTTTTTGGGTACATTATGCAAGAATGTTGCTTGCTGCCCCGATGCAAGCAACATCGCGGGGGTTACGTTCCAAAAAGAACCCGCGATAGGTGAAATCCGTGAAGTAGAAACCTTTTTTTTTTTTTTTACAGTTATCATACAATGAAACACTCCATACAACATTGAAATCAAGGAACAAAAAGTTTTTACACGCCCAAGCATTTGTTTAACAAATAAAAGTACGGTATAAACGTTGTTAACTACTGTACTGTACTGTAAAATAATATAGTTATAAATAAATAAGTAAAAACTTTAATCATCAATACGAAATGAAGGGTTAATATGGCGGGGATCAGCACCGCCCCGCCGTGACGAATTGGAACGGGAGAAAATGAAAACTGATTATGAAAAAAAATACTAAGTACAGCAGGACAAATAGTGACTGACATGTACAGTACAGTACAGTATTTCACTGCTGTTCTGACTGAGCCGCTGCATCCTGACTTTTTTTCTCCTAAAGCCTGCGGTGCATGTGTGTGTTTTTGAGAGAAGAACATAGTTATCGGTAGTTGTTGTCGCTCTTTTTTCTTCTGGGCCAAAAGATCCTTATAAACCGACATGCCACCATCGATTATGTTTGACAATAAGTTTAACAATGCATGATGCAAATCCGTGAAGCAGCGAGACCGTGAAAAGTGAACCATGTTATAGCAAGGGTTCATTGTAATGTAAACTGTGGAGAGTTTCAAATACCTGGGTGTTCACGTCAATAATAAACTGGACTGGACTCATAACACTGACACTCTGTATAAAAAGGGCCAGAGCCGCCTCCACCTCCTGAGGTGGCTGAGGGCCTTTGGAGTCAGCAGGCCCCTCCTTAAAATCTTTTATGACTCTGTGGTGGCCTCAGTCCTCCTCTACGCTGTTGTCTGCTGGGCCCCTGGCAGCTCAGAGCGGGACAGAAAGAGACTGAATAAGCTGGTGAGGAAGGCCACTTCTGTCCTGGGCTGCCTCAATATCTTACTCTGATAATGACAGGTGTATTGTTATACTATTTTGTTATTTTTATTATTATTATCATTATTATTATTATTAACTGTAATGACTTGCAGAGACATAATTTTACCTTCTCCCCTTCTACTGTATTTATGCGAATAATTAAATGCTGTATTTTTATTTGCACTTTACAGTTAAAATGCTAACAACTAAAAAGTTAAAATAGTCAACACACCTGGAGATAGAGTAAAATTTGTGTCATTATTGTTCTTTAAAAAAAAAAAAGCACATTGTTTAGATTGGAATTTTATTTAAAAAAAAGTTATCCAGAAATGAATCCCAAAAAAACCTTTAATCCAAAAAAATATATGTAATATATTACAACAACATATTTATTGGTCATTGTTTTCGTCAAGAGTGAGCACTTTTTTAAGCGGGCTTAAAATAGAATGATCTGTGAATATGTAGCGATTTTAAAAGAATGCAATTGATTAAACTCAATCTGAAAAACAAAAATTAAACACAAAACTTGTGAAAATACAAAATCTGCAAATGAATTGTCTTGACAAATAAAAACATTTGAAAATATAAAAACTGTAAAATAAAAGGAAATAAAATATGACTAAAAAGGATTTCATATTTTTTTTCTATGATTAGGGACTGAAAGCCAAGGTCATAGCCTAGTTCCACTGCATTTAGTTTTTGTCCAAGCCTTATTTTTAGGCTTAGTTTACTGCATTTCTTCATATTAGTTATGTTAGATGCTAATCCGGCCAATAAAACCAGTACAAATCTTTGATATCATTTCTAAAAATTTGCAAAGATGTTCCACTATTTTCCCCGACTGTGCCGTGACACTGAATTTTAGGGCTCCCCCACCTGTAAAAACCCACTTTAACCACTGTACATATGTGTGCAGTACTTGTTTCAATCTTTCTAGGTATTAGGTTGCAAAATATAGGTATTCAAAGAAAATGTCACCTTCTTTATGTACTTATATAATGTAATTTGTGAAAAGATTAGGTAACACTTGTGGCTCTCAGCACGTTTTATTTAGCTGGTCTGACAGCAAAAGTGGCCCTTTGGATAAGGCTGCAGACCCATAGACACTATGGCTTGGCCTTGCAGTCAAAATGGATCACTGTGGAGGCATCATGATTTCACTAGCTCTGGGATCCTGTCTGGGAGAACACTGCATGAAAAGTGAGATTTTCATCCCCGTAAACTCCCTGATTTTCGTCAGTTTCCGACAATTTGCAACCCGCGCTTGTCGCCGTTTGTCAGTGCCACAAATTGTCGGGAACGGACTCTGACATATGTGGAGAGCGATCAGCTGTACTAATGGCCCTAATTAGCATATGAATGCAGCGAACCCGCGCGGCTGGCCAGGTCTGGCTTGAATAACCTACTCAGTATTGGCTGAAACCACTATTCTCAAACAAGTAAAATCGCTCGTGATTGGCAGCAAAACCACACGTGGCCAGGCCAGGCTTGAATTTTCTTACTGAGTATTCGACGGAACCACTTCTTTTTAAACAAGT